ACCCCCCCACTGATCCCCCCAGTGGCGTGACAGCAGCCATTTGCCAGTGACCACTTGGCGCTGGACAGGAGGTGCACTCACATTCCCGGCGCTGGGAGCTGCCAGCTGCAGAGCGTGAAATCAGCCGGGAAAGGAATGCTGGGTCTGGCCCGTCACTCCTTAGCGAATTCCCTCTCCCCATTCCCGGTGGGGGCTGTGTCCTGTGGAATAAGCCCCAGCCCTCTTGCACCCTCCCCCTCCAGCTTCCCCTTCTCCCTGATTCACCACACCTTTGCTCCCCGCCTTGCCCACCCCGTGTGAGGCCGGGCTCAGGGCTCAGTGTGTGGGTGGGCACTGGGGGCATGGGCCGGAGAGGCCAGTGGGTTTCCAGCAGCGGACCAGAGGGGTGGGAGCCCCCAGGGAAGTCTGGTGGGGCTGTCAGGTGGGGCTATGGCTTGAGCCGCGTCCACATTGCCCAAGGCCAGGGCCTGGCCCCATGTCTCAGTGGGACTTGGGCGCTGACCCTCCTCCCGCATGGGTCCTAGGACCCGGCTCCTGAGTGCTGGCTGACCCGAGTCAGGCTGATGTGGTTGTGGAAAGAAGCGGGGCTTGGGATCAAACCGGAGTCAGAGCTGAGGCTTAGTGTGCTGTGTAGACGTATCCGCAGGGTGCTCGGTGCATGCTGCCAAGCTGCCCAGGGCTATGGCCCTGGCTGTCCCGTTTGTTAGTACTTCAAAGCTGGCAGCCCCCAGTTCGGGCAGGGGCCAACGGGGGCTCAGCCCATTCCCAGGGAGTTGGAAGAGCTGTGCCCCATTTGGGCTGGGGGGTGAGGGGGAATCCTGCATGAGGCCTGTCTCTGGGCTGCAGCAGCCATGTGGCTCCTGTTCCCACGCCCATGGCCCTTCCCGGCAGAGGGGGCAGCGGAAGGGTGCACCCTGGGGGGAAGTGGCTTTGGCTGAGGCCTTCCCATTCTGCTGGGTGTCCGCCAAGGCCCCTGCAGAGGATCCAGCCAGGCAGCGAGGACAATGGGCATTTGAGCAGGGCCAGGGATGCCGCGGGACAGAGATGCCTCTGTTCAGCCAGCAAGTCCCTGCCAGGCCGGGTCACACCAGGCTGGGCAGGGCACTTAGAGCAGGCGTTTACTACCCCTGGAATGGCAGGGATGGGCTGTCAACAGCCCGGGGGGGAGGGGGCACGAAGGGAAGGGAGTGCAGGGCTGTCTGGGCCAGGAAGGGACGGGGGTGTGTGTGCAGGGGTGTCTGGGAAGAGACGGGGATATGTGTGCAGGGGTGTCTGGGCTGGGAAGGGCTGGGTGTGTGTGTGTGTGCAGGGGTGTCTGGGCCGGGGTGTGTGTGTGTGCAGGGATGTCTGGGAAGGGATGGGGATGTGTGTGCAGGGGTGTCTGGGATGGGAAGGGACAGGGTGTGTGTGTGTGCAGGGATGTCTGGGCCGGGAAGGGATGGGGCATCTGAGCCCCAGTCTGAGTCAGGACTCGAACTCGCCCCGCTCGCTCCCAGTCCTTGCCTGCCTTCCGCCCCTTGCTGTCCTTCAGCCCCACAGGAAGGCGCTGAGCTTTGGGATCCATCCCACAGCCCAGCCCACAGGGCTCCTCGTGGGCGGGAGGTTCGCCCTTCCCTAGGGGAAATGTCCATGGTGGTGTGGATGAGGCTTTGCGCCCTGCCCAATGCCGCCTGGGCCCAGCCCTGCAGGGAGTCCTGCTCTCAGCCCTGTGTAATGGGGAAATGAGACAGGAACCTGGAAATGGAGAAATGACTGGCCCAGAGGAGCTGTGGCAGGCCAACACTGCAAGCAAACCAGGCCAAACCCCTGTCTCTCCCCTGAAGTGGAAGCCATCCTAGTGCAGTGGCCCAGCTGTGTGCACGGGGGCTTGGCTCTGCACCAGGGAGCGATGCTGGAAGGGGCCGCCGGAGTCAGCTAGAAGGAATTTAATGAGGCTGCTCAAAATGCTCCAGGCAGGCGTCTTCTGGACCGAAAAAGGATGGTTTTGTTCAAAGCAGGAAAATGGCAAATCCCAAGAGAAGTGTGTTTTCCCAAGGGAACTGCTAACCCCGGTGGCGTTTTGCTTCCGTTCGTGTCACTCGGAAACGGGAACGGTAGTTCAGGTCCAGCTCCCGTCTGCGGGAACCAAACGTTGTGAACCAAAATATAAAAAGTCACTTTGAAATGTCTCAGGGGAAAAGATTGGCTTCCAGACTGGACGGAGAAGTGACTCCCCTGCTCGTCTGGACTCAGGCGCCGGTATCATGCATGGAGCCACCCCCGAGGCAAAACCCGCCTTGACCTCCCCACGTTCTCGCTGCCGCTGGTGTAACCCCGCTCCGCTCCCCGGAAGCCCGTTTCCAGCTGCTTTACCAGGCCCGTCTCCACGGCGGAAATCCCTCCACCTCTCAGCTCTGCGGTCACAGCCAGGCTAGCAGAGGACACAAGGGCCGCAGCTGGTGCTTATCTGAGCAGAGTCCGAGGCCGTAATGACCACGCTTGGGCTGCTGGAGTGTGGAGACCACTTCCCATCACACTGACCACTATGGTCTCTCTCTAGCTGCGCTCCCAGCTGTTGCCTCGTCTTATGCTTAGCCCAGATCCTCAAACGTCAGCGACGTTGCTCAGGCGAAGAAGAAAGCCATTGCCAAGCTCGTTTCCAGGTTCCAGCACCCGCAACAGATGAAGCCTGCTGCTGGTGGGTAGATTTCAGTGGAAGTTAGGAGCCGAAATACCTTTGAGAATCTGGGTGTGAGCTCTATCAGGCAGGGACAGGCAGTGTTCTCTGTTTGTACAGCTCCTAGCACAGTGGGGGCTTGGTTGGCACTCCTAAGCACTGTAGTAATGCAGATAAATAGCAGGGATGAGATAGCCAACGGTGTTGTCTACACTAGTGCTCCCACTTTTGCTGTCCCAGTGGAGGAAAGGCCTGTGGGCAGAATTTGGCCTCATGAGCATCTGAATAGAGAAGACTTCAGGCATCTGCCCAGGAGGGCAGTGACAGAACAGAATGCTTTCCCATTTGATTTGGTTGCTCGGAGACATGGGGAGTATGTCTACATGGCAAGTAGAAACCCCCAGCACTGAGCCTCAGAGCCCGAGTCTAAGAGTCAGGCTCATGAGACCGCACTAAAAATAGCCATGTAGACATTGGGGCTTGGGCTGGAGCCTGGGCTCTGAACCCCAGGAGTAGAGTGAGCTTCATAGCCCGCCCTCCAGCCCCAATGGCTAAACAGCTGTTTTAAGCACTGTAACGCGAGACCCACAAGCCAGAAGCTCAGACTCGCTGCTGTGGATTTCAGCTCACTGTGGGGATGTACCCCCCCTCCCGCCCCCCATACCTCATGTATCTCCCAAAGTACAGTCTAGTGCCCACTCTCAGTGGAGATGGCTAGTTCAGGGTTAGATCCACCCAGAACCACAAACAGGGTGTGCTCCAAGCAGGTAACATACGTGCTTGCTATGGATGGTAACCCCCTACAGCAGCGGTTTTCAACCTTTTCTCATTTGCGGACCCCAAACAAATTTCGAGGTGTGGACTCCTTTGGAAATCTCAGACACAGTCTGCAGCCCCCCAGGGGTCCACGGGCCACAGAGTCAGTGTTTGGGGATGTTCACAATGCCGTATAAGTCACGCATGCCTGGGCAGGCTCTGGCTAGAGCAGAGTTGGCTGGGAAAGAGTTTTCCCAGCCCCTGACAATTTTCAAGATATTGAAAAATTTTCCCACTTGGAATCAGGAGAAAAAGTCAAAATCTGGAAAGTGTTCACAAGCTGGAAATCCAAAAGCTTCATTTCAAGGTGTTTCCTCATGATTGAACATATCTATTTACTATCACTAGCTTAACTGTCAAAACAAAAAGTCATTTTGCGCCTGAAAACGGCAATTTGTCATTTCCAGAATGTCCAAAAGGAAACGTTTTGACAATTGCAAAACTCGAACTTTTTTTTTAGTTGAAAAATTCATCAAAACTGAGGCAAAACTGCAAACAAGGTTCAGTTCCGACAAAGTGGCATTTTCCAACCCCACCCTCCCCAAGAGAAAAAAGCCTCATTCTGAGCCAGTGAGGGGGATTCTGGGTAGGGTCTCCCGGATCTAGATTTTAGCAAGGATTTTAGAAAGCGACTCGTGGTTCTGAGTGTCCGACTGGAGACAGAATAAGGGGGTTTGCTATCAAAGGATCAGTTTTGAAGATCTGAGTCCACATGGGCCATTCATAAGTCACACTGCTCACCACAGTACACGGATGGCCTGGCACTTGGAGGGAGGATTTTCCCTGGACATGTTGAGGCCCAGAGCTGGATGTGACAGGGCCAGGTGCCAGGCTGAGAGGTGTGGTGGACGTTCCATAGGACAAGATGGAACAGATTCTGGTCTTGGTTACATCAGTGTGTGATTAAAGCCGGGAGCGTCACAGGAGATACCCGCTACCTGTCTGGGCTGAGCCGACTCTGCAAGCTGCTGGGCTGGAGAGTGGAAACTGGTCAGTGAATCAAACCCGCAAGAAGTCACAGGACGATGATGTTAGACTGACCCCACCCAAACTGACAAGTTTTATCAAGTGGAAACCAGGCAATTCCTGGAAAATTTCTTGCATCTTAGGGCAGTGAGGTCTAGTAGTTAGAACCAGGGCTCCTGGCTCTGCCACTAAGTGACTCTGGGCAAACCAGCGAAACTTGCTGGGCCTCTGTTTCCTGAAATGCAAAACAGGGATCTAGCTTATTTATCATGCCTGCCACCATAGTACCCAGGCTTTGAGTCTATGGATCATGGGCCATACCGATTCCTGGCGTAACCCAACTGAATCACTGGGTATGGTCTGATACACTCGGGATGCATTTGACCCGGTAATAGGTGCCTCACCGAGAGATTTAGCAGGCGTAATTATTCATGTCTGTAAAGCACTTGGAGATAACAGATCCGTTAGGGGAAAGGTCTCCGCACGCTCCCAGAGGAATATGGGAACATGAGACCAGGGGCAAGACTGGGAGGGTCGCGGGAGCCAATAACATTGAAATAAATTGACGAAAATACTCAGCATTTTATTGCATCCTCCAAACCAATGAAAATAGACATCCGGCAGTACCAAAGGCACAGATTGCATGCCAGTCCCACGCCAGCAGAATACAGTGTGACTGCACACAGTAACAGATGATGCGCACGGCAGATCCCACTTGCAAGCAGCAGCGGCTGGCGAGAGAGGGCTGCACCGGCAGCTTCAAAATGCCCAGGAAAATCAGGAAGAGAGAGTGTGACGATTAAAGCCGAAGAACTGAGCAGGACTTTATCCCAACCCCAACGAGCCCTCACAGCCCAAGGCCAGGTTCACTCCTGGGAACGTTGCTTGGACATTCTTGTGCTTGCCGCTCTCCAACACTGCCCTGGTCGGGGGGGGGGGCCCTGATTTCTCCTCATGAGTGACCAGGAGTCACCCCGTAGGTTGCAGCTGATCTCCCCAGCAGGGCTCTGAAAGGGCACTTGGCAGCTCAGAGAGCAGAGGTAGGTGCCCCCTCAGACCTGCGAGAGGGTAACCTGGCCTTTCGGCGCAGACCAGTAACAGCTGTCTGACGGACCAGAGCTGCGTTCCACCAGTACTAAGAGCAGAAAAGCACCAGCTGAAGGTACCCAGCACCTCCTGACCTTCCCAGGGGGCTCCTAGACCATCCCGCATGTTCTGCTGGCGAGGGTCCGTGATGGCCTCTGCCTGGTTTCAGACACATCACACAGGTTCCTTCCCTATTTTGGATGCCTGTAACCCTGCCACGGGGCCTGTTCTCCATACTCCATTCCCCGCAACACCACGCCAAAGAAAAAGAATTAACGAACAAGGGGAATGTTTCTAGGTAGAGTTTCCCATCTGCCATTGCTTATCAGCTGTGTCACCTCCCTGATCTCCAACGAGGCAGCCATTGCTGGATGATTGAATGACTGGGAGTGTTCTGTTCTGGCTTTGGCCAAAGGGCCTTGGCACGTAGGACCAAGAAGAACGTGGTGCCTGACGCAGCACCCTGCTAGCTCTGCTCAGCCAGACATCCTGGGACGGGTTTATTCACCTCCATGGTGAACCCCCTTGGGGCAGGCTCCTGTCATCTCTGCGAGTCTGCCCACTGGGCTCACCCCTCACCCACCCCACACGCTGCCGTGTCAATGACTTGGCAGCCCTTCTATCCCTTGCCACTCCCGCTTCTGCTCCTGGGACTGGCTTCCTCTTCCCTTCTGCACCACAGGCAGGCTTCCTGCCCCGCCCTTCGATCCTCACGAGGCCTAAACCTACCCTCTGAGCCCGGCCTGCTCCCTTTGAATCCTTCTCCCGGGTATTCCAGTGCCTTTCCCAGGCTGGCCCTCTCAGGCCTGGGAGTCCCTCCACGTGCCAGCCCTCCACCTCCCCTGCTCCCAATACATTGCTGCCACCAAGGTCATTGGTGTTAATTCACCAGGTGATTAACCCTCTGCTTTGCCGCTGCGGGACGGCACGGCCAGCCAGTGCTCTGTATCCAAAGCACAGGGTCTCTTCAGGTTGGATGCAGAGTCCTGACGTTTTGGACAGCACCAGGCCATCGTCACCCAAGAAGCCAATCGGGTGACTCTACTCCAGCTCAGAAAGGGCCAGGCTATGGGACACAGGGCCTTTAGGTGCTCAGACACTGCAGTGATGAGATTGGTGGGAGTACCTATATCCTACGGTCCCTGGTCTGGGTCTGGCCCAGGTTGGTTGGGACTGAACATCACTGGTAGCCAATGGCTCTTTGGTGGGGCTCAGTGCAGATCTCCAAGGGCAGGTATCCACACCACAAAATCCACCACACAACACGCCCTTGTTCGGAGACAGCAGACTAGGCACAGAGCCCAAACTTCCTCAGAGGGGTCACCTGCAGGTCAGGGCCGAGGAGCGTTGGCAGAGCGAGGGAGGGAGCAGGCCCAGGCACTGCTTGGCTGGGACCCTGGCTCAGGCGAGCAGAAGCGTCTGGTCTCTGGGGCTCTCACTCCAGCGGCACTAAATTCACACATGCCAGAGGAGACGCTACCCGCAGCCTTTGCTGCCGGCACTGAGCCTGGGTCCGATGCAGCTGGGGAGAGGGAACCACCAAAATCTCCCAGCTGCAGCTTGCCTGGACGTGAGGCAGCCTGGCAGCTGCACTGAAACGGACACAAGGGATCTGGGACTGCCCCCTCTCCCCAAACCACGTGGAAACCAGCCTGGTAGCATCACTCAACAGCCCCATGAAAAGCCACCACGGCCTGGAGGCGGGCGCTCTAATGGAGGTGATGCACAGCTCTGCTCAGCCCACCTGGAGAGACTTTGGGGCAGCCTCATAAGACAGGGGCTTGCCCACGGAGGGTGGTCTCTCGTAGGTGCCACAGGGGTGATGTGCTGTGCTTCCAACCCTCCAAAATAAGCCCTTGTCCTCCTTGAAATCCAGGAAGCTACAGCGGTGCCCTTCCAGCTCCCTCTCGCTGGTCTGATACTGTGTAAATCAGGAGCCATTCCACCAAAGCCAGTGCAGCTCCCCCAGTGGAGCAGGGAGACTACAGCCCTGCATATCCTGGGATTACAACTCCTCTTCCAAGCAGCCAGCCGAGCTGCAGTGACCCAGGCGAGGATGGGACACAGCTGTTCACAAGGAGACCAGCGACGGCCCTGGTAGAGTGGTCGAGGAGGCAGGAAGGCATGGCCCAAGAGACACCCGCCTGGCCGGGCTGGGCTTTGCTCCCTACCTCCTGGCTTCACCCTCTGCAGTCGTGCCTGGTCAGCTGGAGGCACCATGTCCCCAAGAGAGGGGCCCGACCTGGAGCCCCAATCCCAACAGCACACGCTGTGGTGGAGTTTGGATACAGACCCAATCTCTGCAGCTCAGACCTGCCTCAATCACGCGCTCACGCTGACCGTTCCTAGGAGTCAAGGGTCAAGACTTCCAAGAGGAACTAGTGATTGGGGGAGGACACCTTAATTTGAGCCCCCTCCCCCCGCCAATCACGAGTCACTTGTGATGGGGGCGTATCCCCTGCATCCTGGGCTGCCCCAGGAACTCCTCAGACTCTCTTAGTGTCCACTCTGTATAATTTATTCAAGTCCCCTCCACCAACACCTGGACAATGCCACACGCCCCGCCTACGCTCTACAACTCTTGCCTTCAGCCCCTGGTCAGCAGGGCCCCGGGAGGAAACCAGATCTCTCTTCCTTGGGATCTCCTTCAATCTAGGCACAGTTAGCCCCGTCTCCTGCCATCCCAAAACGGCCTCCCCGCCTTTCATCCAAGTAATTCCCTAACTCACCCTACCTCCCCACCTGATTAGCTAATTGCTCCCTACCCCCCCAATCAGCCATCACACGGGAAAAGATCAGAGTGCTGGCCGGTCTGTTGGGCCTCAGCACTCTGTCACAGCACCTAGGGAGGCCTTGGCCAAGGATTCTGCAGGGGGAACAAAGCCGACCTGTTGGACTGGAGGGGGGAGAAAACACATGGAGGAATAGCCAGCCCAAGACAGTGCAGAAAAAGGGGCCAGGTCATGATTCAGGGACCCCTCAAGGAGATGTCTGAGTGAAGGGGAACTGGAAGTTATGCCCTCGCCTCTGCTGTCAAGGTGCTGAGAATGAGCAACACTGAATGCCTTGCGAGGGGTTTTCCTCCAGTATTCTCACCCTTTCCTTCCATCTCGTTCCCTTGAAAGGGAATGCCGGGAAGTGGAAGTGGGGGTCAGGAGCTCACTGGAGACCCTCCCTCTGGAGAACTCCTGTTCCAATCCCAGGGCCACAGCAAGGAATCTCCACTGTCAATGAGCACACGACTGTTACCCGTGGTGGTTCCTGCCGAGAGTCTGGGCCGGTGGCCAGAGCCCTGGTGAGGCAGCAGGTGCGGGAAAGGAAATGTGCTGAGCCGGGGGGGCGGGAAAGAAGATCCCATTGCTGCATCAGTCGGCCTTGCAGAACAAGGATTCCTAGCCACACGGACCAACATCTTACCCCGTCGACTCACCCTTGACTTGACTTGGTAAGGACCCGTTGACTTACCCTGGGTCCTGCCCCCTCAGCTCCCACTACCCGCTCCTGTCCTGGCACTTGATAGGAATGACAGATCCATGGAGAGGCTGCTGTGTGATTTGTGCGTAACCATCCCACTCCCCTGCAATCCCCACCCTCCTGTATTTTTGGAGGCCAGGGTCCTGGCCGCAGCAGCGTAAGCACAGGGAGGTCCTGGCGATGTCTCAGCGAAGTATGCTGTTGGTTTCCTCTCGAGGCGCATCACAGCCCTCCCTGCCCAGCGTCGCTCCCAGGAGCTGGTAGCTCATCTGACCCCAAGACTCGCACCAACGGCAGGATTCCAGAGGCCGTCGGCAGCACTGGTAACATGCTTGTCTGGCGCGAGGCCGCCCTAGAAACGTTTGTCTTCTGGCTGGGAACTGACCACCAGCTCTTTGTTGCCGAAGTCCCACCAGGCGGTCATGTGGAAAGCCATGTTGGAAAGGACGACCAGGTACTCCAGGAAAGCAAAGATGGTATAGGCTAGGAGAGGAAGGGAGGGAACCCATCAGGTTAACGGAGGAAATGGGGCATAGGAAAGGGAAGAACTATGAATGCGAGCAAGACCACGTCTCTCTCAATGTGTTAGCCGAGCCTCTGGCACTACAGGGGCTGAAGCTTGGTAGCAAGACGTTCTCATTTCTCGAGAAGCCCGTTCCCGCCCAGCCCAGCGGGAAGCCATTACTTTCTGATGGCCATTCGGGGAACGGCGGATCTCTGTCCATAATCTAGCAGGCATGTGTCTCCAGCACCACACCCACTGCAAAACCCAGCAATGCTGGCAGCCTTCCCAGAAAGCCAAGGCCTGAGTGGGAGCTGGAGGAGACTGATGGTATCCAGAAGGGGTCAGCAGGCGGGGGCAGACGCACGCTAGCAGGGAAGCAAAGGGAAACTGGCCCCTGCCGCGTCTGCTCTTTGACTGATTCAGGAGAAGGTTGTGATACGGGGCCCAGCGGTTGGGTCCTCAGGGACCTTACCTCCGGCCTCGCAGTACCAATTGTGGCGGAAGTAGATGCACACGGCCAAGGAGAACGTGACGAGGTTAAAGAGGAAGAGCAGCAGCTTCCACTTGTAGGACTTGCACTCCTGAAAGAGACCGACAGGACAAGGTCTGACCCCCAGAAGCTGGGTTAGAGGAGTAACCCCCTCCCCTTCCCGTACCCTTCCAAGAGGCCGCGGCCTGGACCTCCCAGCCCGAGCCTGCAGAGGCGAGGTCCTTAGCCCCTGGAAATGGCCCGAACTGCACGGTTCACACGGCAACCCCCCCATCACCTCTCGGCAGAGCCCAGGCATGATAGTGCAGCTGACACTCATTAGAACAGTGCCCCCAAGTGGTGGCAACTAAGCTCCCATAAATGGCACAGAAAGCTACCCACACAAACAAGAAGAGCCATCTCCCTTGGCGCTGTGTCCCTGCTAATTCTCTGCCATCTTCCCCAGCTGCGCACCCCTAGACTCCTGTAACAGTCATCATCCTTCTGGGCAAGGATGAATCCAACGCCACCGACCAATTATCTTGCTGCCTTACAATGTACAAGGAACACAATTTTCAAATAGGTGAAGAACAATTTTTCCTTTGCGGCTGCGCCGGGAGCTGGAGCTCAGGGCGCTGTTTCACCGGTGATCGCTGATCCAGAAAGAGGGGTGCCCTCGCAGCGAGCTAGGCATTCCTAAGGGTAACCTCATCTCTGACACTGGCACATCGTGTAGCCTTGGGGAAGTCATTTAACCTCCCTGTGAAGTGGATATAATACTAATCAATGGGCGGGTGCGTGTCTATGTGCAGGTCATTGGCCTCTGCAGGAAGGAATCAGGCTGCTCAACCATGTGTCATAGGCCCTATACTACCAACAGGTAAAATAGATTCTCCATTAGCTCCATGGGTTGGTGCCTGTGCTTTTGGAGCGAGAGTTCGCGTGCCCCCGCAAAGTCGCGTGACCACAGCACGCCTCGCAGTGAGGAGCGGAAATCCTGCTGGACGTGCCCATGGATGGTACAATGCTCACCCCCCCGCTCCCACTTTGGCTATCGGCACCCCCGCTGCTGGATCCTACCCCTCCCGGCCTGGCTCCCTCTGCGTTGAGCACCAGCCAAGGTGCAGGGGGTTCACCAGAACAAAGCAGGCAGCCGCCGCCGCGCCTCCCCCGGAGCTGTGCCCCGCTCGCTTGCCGCTGGGGCGGGGAGGAGGAGGAGGAAACCACACCAAGGAGCAGAGCTGGGGCGGGTGCAGAACCGAAGGCATTTCGCAAGCAGCACAAAGTGCTGGGGCGGGCTCCTCCTCCACCCCGGAGCGTGGTCCCACCGAGCCAGCCTGGCTGAGCTACTGGCCAAACGGGGGAGAGCCCCTGAGGAAGGGCTGGGGCCACGGCTGCTCCATAGGGGGTCTGCGTCCCCCTGACCCACACAGGTAGAATCTCCGGGGGGGTCGCAGCCTGACTGCTCCGGGACCCTCTAGCTCCACTGGTAGCCTGCAGACCCAAGTAACTGGCCACGTTCCCCAGAACACGGGGTCCAGCCTGCCAGGCTGTGAAAGGCGCGGCCACGGGAAACGTGGGCAAGCTGGAGCAGCCCCAAGGTCCATCCCGGCCTCCTGGCTCCCTCAGTGGCAGCTCCAGACACATCAGAGAGCCATGGACCCGCCTGTCCGCAGGGCACCTCCCTGAGGTGAGGTGGAGGTGAGCTTATGCCTGAAGCAGCCAGGTCAGGCAGGTGGGGGGATGCTGCCTCTCCTTGGGCAGTGAGAACCCCCCCCCAAATTTCCCATCTTTCTCCCCTCACTGCTCCCTGCCCCCTGAGATCCATCTGCAGTTCTCTCCTCCCTCCCACACTGCCCTGGGGGTACCCAGACCCAAGACACTAGGCAAAGAAAACAGGAAACACTTCAGCTTGCCGCCCCCCACCCTCCCCGGCTCAGCCTTGCTAATGGACGAAGGCATGTGGCGGGGCGGGGGATAGAGTCAGACGGGGCGCTGAGGAGGGGGCTGCTTGCACCTTTCAGAACCTGCTTCTGGACAGCTGTCACCGCGAGGGGGCTGGACACTGGCCGGCCAGGAAGCCTGGGTCAGGCCAGTTGGAAAGGGGACACACACCGGAGCCACAGATGTGTTTTATTCCTGCTTCTCAGCAGTGGGAGGGGATTTTCCTCCTTTCTGAGGTTTCCAGCAGGGCAGAAACTCCAAGTCATGGGGCCTGCTGAGAAGTAGGAACATTCAAATCACAGCATCAGAGTTTCCATGACCCCACCGAAAGCGCGGTAGGTGCTGCCAGCCGCTCTCAACACACAAACAGGTGACGCCGGGGAGGAAAACCCCCGGAGGAAGGTTGGGCTTGTGGTTAATATACTGGCTGGGGACTCCAGGGACCTGGGTTCAACACCCTGGTCTGGCACAGACTCCCTGTGTGACCTTTGGCCTGTCACATTCTCTCTCAGTGACCCAGCTCCTTAATGATCTTTCCTTAATGATTCAGACTTCTGGGGCTGTCTCTAACTGTCCATACAGCACCCAGGGCAACGGGTTCCCCATAGCTCCAGGGGAGGCTAAGATGTCACTAATTCCTGCATCACCTCCACAATGCACTGTGCTGGTTTTGCTAGGCAAAAGAATCACGGGAAAGATACTGGGCCAAACATAAGCGCTGCTAGAACCGGGCTCACTACTTCTTTGGCCCTCCCGTGAGTCCTTCCAAGAAAAGAAGGAAATAGGAGAGAAGTTCCATAGCTTACCTAAGGCGGACAGCAGAAATCCAGGTTGCCCCACTCTGGCTGGTGCCCAGCCCTAACCTGTAGGCCGCACTACTTCCCACCCCCACACTCACATCTGCTAGGTTCCCCCCCACCACCCACACCCGAGCCTGCTACTCGGGGGGGGGGGTGGAAGATGCTATAAAATTGGACTCAGGCTGCTCCCCATCATTGGGAACGAGAGCGCTTCCCCGCCCCCCCCCCCGAGGAATTACAAAGATCCCCCAAATCCGGGCCTACTGCCCGAGGACACATTCCCCTAGCAGCAGGGCTGGGGAGGAGGATGGACTATTTCATTTGAAATGAACTGTCGCAGAACGGGGGGGTGGGGCCAGATCATCTGAGTGTCAGGACCTCATGTGAAATAACAGTGAGCAATCCAAGCAGCAATCTATTATGTAAAACTTCACACAGGAAAAAGCAGGTCACAAGCCACCTTGTTTTCATACAGGCCCCTCTGGCAGCGGAAACATGACTTTTCTGTAGGCTAGCAGCAAGAACAAACAACTGATGGCTCATTGGTGCGCTCATTAACTCAGCAGCAGCTCTTAGCTCTTTGATCCCAAGCCTGGCAGCCTCTGTGCTGCACAGGGACTGTGGCTTCACCCTTCCGACCAGCAGAACCCGAAGCTTTCCAAAGGCACGCGCTGCTTTTTAAAAGATTTCAGGTGCTTTACTCTCCTCCTTGGGGACTTCTGCTTCTCAAGGCATGACACGGCTAAGATCTAAAGGCCAGGGCTTCGATCTAAAAGGCCACTCAGTCTGTACCAACATCAGGGATGCTTTAACTCTTGATCTCACGACAGCCAGGGAAAGACGCACCAGCTGGGAAGTTTCTCTAGCCAGCAGACGTTTCCGTCCCTGGGGCTTTAGCCAGGTGACTTTACTAGCTCTGCAGCCATGTCAGATCCAGTCTGGCCAGTACTTGGACGAGGGGGGCCCCCAAGAAAAGCCCAGGAGCAGCAGGAAATGGTGACTCTGAGTCAAGGGGTCTACAAGTAGCAAATCAGCCCCCAGCAGAGGGGATGAAAGACCCAGGCTGGCTGGAGATGCCATTTTCCCAGAGGAGGTATACAACCAGAACCCTGAAACCCTGCCGCCACTCAAGCTCCCAGTGCACTTCCCCTAAGAGTTGGCAGCTTAGCTCCAGCGTCCTGGTCAAACGGCAGCTCCGGCGATTCCGTTCTGCCACCCAACATTTCCTCTGTCATTTCAATTAGACGAGTCAGCCTGCAGATCCCGTCCTATAACCTGCCGTGTAGCATTGCCACGTCCCACCCCAGAAGCCGCTGCATCCTAGTGTGTGTGTGTGTGTGGGGGGGGGGGGCGGCCAATCCCTGCTTACACAGTCTGGGAAGCATTTAAGGATCTTTCTGGACAACAGGTGCATTTACTCCGACAGGAGGTACAAGCTTCTTCCTCAGTGGCCCAGACCTTGTAGAGATCTCACAGCATCCAGCCATTTTAATACTCTCAGGAGAGCCGCTATGGACTGTAACAACATCACACACGGGCTCCTGAACCCCAGGGCTGGGTAGCTCAGCCAGCTGACACTCCTGAGGGCCGCCCGTCCTGGACAGCCTGCATGGGGCACCAGGCTGCCGAACGGCTTTGGGCTGGTCCGCACCGGCCGCGGCGTTACCAAATAACTCTGCCTTGGGCAGAGCCTTTGTAATTATCTGCTCACATCTGGGACCCTGGGTCGGGCTGGGCCCAGCTCCAAGACTCACATTTCCGGAGGGGGGAACGTGGAATCTGACTCAGATCCCTGGGACAGGGCCATTGTAGTGCAGCTGGGTGGCGCGAGATGCATAGGAGCAATTTGGGAAGGATCAATGGCCTTTTGGTTATCATGAGATCTAGATTCAAGCCCTGGCTCTGCTTCAGTCTCCCTGGGAGACTCTGGACAAGTTCCTAAGGGTCTGTCTACACTGCATCGTACACCCAGGTCTGTGGGACCTGGTCTTGTGGACTAGGTGTGTCCAAGCCTGTGCTTGAGCGTCCACACTGCACTGTAAACCCGGGTCTCACAGTCGTGCTAACGTCCACACCGCACTACATAGACCCTCGGAGTCGGGTCTGAAGCTCAGGCTATGTCGACACTGCAAAGTGCCAGGGCTTGCACCCGAGTGAGAGCAGGACTCAGGCTTTGATCCACCCACAAGTAGGGTCCTAGGACTCGTTACTCCTGGAGGAATTCTGCGCTACTGCGCATGTGCAGAATTAATTTCCCCTGCAGATTTCTTTGCTTCCCCGCAGAAAAATGACTTTCTGATGGGGAAGCAAAGGGAAGCCACAAGAGCGGTCATACGATCATCCCCAGCAGTATGTTTTAGGTGCCCAG